ATCACAAGTGATGAGATAATGAACCAGCACTTCCCTGACTTCTCTATTGATGAGTTACAACACAGTATCTTTTCTACATATATCACTGCAGCAAGTTTCTGGTCTTCTTCATTTCCAGACTGGGAAATCAGTCTCCATGTCTCAGCTCATCTCTAGGTTACAACTATATAGGATTCTCAGTAATGATATTCCCATCATCACTTAAATAGTGTGGTCCCATGATTCTGCAGTTGTTCAAGTCTCCAGACAAGAATGTAAGCAAAGTATTTTGTTATGTATCCCCAAGCTCTAATTCTGAACCACTAGCATCCTTTATAATCACTTGGCTTAAGGAAAGATGGATCATGAGTGGGAGAGGAAAGGAGGAATGACTTTCTTCATAAATACTGACCCAAGGAGGAATAGTTCCCTCCTTTTAGTTCAGGTTGTTTTGTATTTCTTTTCTTGTGTGTGTATATGTGAGTATGTGTGTTAGTATTAAGTGTATATATGAGTTCTGTGTGTGCATGTGCTTACATGTGTGTGTGTGTGTGTGTGTGTGTGTGTGTGCATCTCTGTTTTATGTGAAAGGGATATAAATGTTCAGGTTTGTTGTTCTCCACCTTATTCTTTTAAAACAGTGTCTGTTACTGAACCTGGAACTTGTAGTCTTGGATCTATGCCTCCTCACTGACACCCAAATTTAGGGGGTCTGAATCAGTCCCATGCTGACCACTCAGCCATCAGACTGGGGTCCATGAGCTTCCACTTCTTCAGGTCAGCTGTTTCTCTGGGTTTCACCAGTCCATTCTTAATCCCTTTGCTCATCATTCCTCCCTCTCTGCAGCTGGTTTCTTGGATTTCAGTTCAGTGTTTAGCTGTGTGTGTCTGCCTCTGCTTCTGTCAGTCACTGATCAGACACTGAATGAAGGTGCTAGGATGGCATATAAGGCAGCCATCAATCTCATTATCGGGGAAGGGCATTTAAGGTAGTCTCTCCACTATTGCTTAGCTTGACAGTTGGTGTCATCCTTGTAGATCTCTGGAAATCTCACTAGTGCCAGATTTTTCCTCAAACCTATAATGACTCCCTCTATTATGGTATCTCTCATCCTGCTCTCTATTCTACCCCCAACTAGAACTTCCTGCTCACCCATGTCCTCCTCTCCCCTCCTCTTCTCCAGCTCTCTTTCTCACAGATCCCTTTTCCTGGCCCCCATGCTCCCAATCCACTCAGAATGTCCAGTCCCAATCTGCTTCTTCAGGGTACAATGAATATCTCTCTTGGGGTCCTCCCTGTTTCCCAGACTCTCTGGAGGTGGGATTGTAGGCTGGCACTCTCCTGCTCCATCTCTAAAATCCATATATGAGTGAGTACATACCATGTTTTTCTTTTTGTGACTGGGTAACCTCACTCAGGATGGTTTCTTCTAGTGTTGTCCATTTTCCTGCATATTTCAGGATTCCATTGTTTTTTTCTGCTGAATAGTACTCCATTGTGTAAATGTACCACATTTTCTCTATCCACTCTTCAGTTGAGGGGCATCTAGGTTGCTTCCAGGTTCTGGCTATTACAAATAATGCTGCTATGAACATAGTGGAACAGATGTCCTTGCTGTATGAATGTGCATCTTTTCGGTATATGCCTAAGAGTTGAATTGGTAGGTCTTGGGGTTGACTGATTTCCATTTTCCTGAGGAATCTCCATACTGATTTCCAAAGTGGCTGTATGAGTTGGCATTCCCACCAGCAGTGGAGGAGAGTTCCCCTTTCTCCACATTCTCTCCAGCATAAACTGTCATTGGTGTTTTTTATTTTAGCCATTCTGACAGGAGTAAGATGGTATCTCAGAGTTGCTTTGATTTGCATTTCCCTGATGGCTAAGGATGTCGAGCACTTTCTTAATTGTCTCTCAGCCATTTTAGACTCCTCTATTGAGAATTCTCTGTTTAGTTCTTTACCTCACTTTTTAATTGAATCATTTGGTGTTTTGGAGACTTGTTTCTTGAGTTCTTCATAAATTTTGGAGATCAGCCCTCTGTCAGATATGGGGTTAGTATGTAGAGAGATGTACATACCCGTAACGCTGACCACACCCATTTGGGTGTGTTCACAGCTATGTAGAATGTACAGGGGATAAAAGAGTTAGGGGGAGGAGACGTTTTTTTCTCTGGGTTCCAGTTGCTGCCTGGAGACAGCGTGGGGGCCTTTGGTTCTTGGCTTTCTTGGCTTCTCACCTAAGTCATTTCTTCCTCAATAAAATATCATCATAGGACATCCCTATTTTGTATAGCTTAATATTTCCACATTATTAGTGAATATCTTTTACCATTCTGTGGGCTGTTGTTTTGCCTTGTTGACTGTGCCTTTTGCCTTACAGAAGTTTCTCAGTTTCAAGAGGTTCTATTTATTAATTGTTGCTCTCAGAGTCTGTGCTACAGGAAGTGGTCTCGTGTACTAATTAGCTAAGGGTACCTCCCACTTTCTCTTCTAAGAGATTCAGTATTGATGGATTTATGTTGAGGTCTTTGATCCATTTGGACTTAAGTTGTGTGCATAGTGATAGACACGGATGTATCTGCAATCTACTACATGCCAGCATCCAGTTATGCCAGCACCATTTGTTGAAGATGCTTTCTTTTTTACATTGTATAATTTTAGCTTCTTTGTCAAAAATCAAGTGCCTGAGGTGTGTGGGCTAATATCATTGTTTTCAGTTAGATTCCATTGGTCTACGTGTCTATTTTTTGCTAACACCAAGCTGTTTTCCAGACTATAGCTCTATAATAGAGCTTGAAGTCAGGGATGGTGAATCCCCTGGAAGTTTGTTTATTGTACAGAGTTGTTTTGGCTATCCTGGGTCTTTTGTTTTTCCATATAAAGTTGATTATTGTTCTTTCAAGGTCTGTGAAGAATTGTGCTGGGAATTTGATGGAGATTGCATTGAATCTGTAGATGGCTTTTGGCAAGATTGACATTTTTACTATGTTGATTCTACCTATCCAAGAACTTAGGATATTTTTCCATTTTCTGATATCTTCTTTAATTTCTTTCTTTAAAGACTCAAAGTTCTTGCTAAACAGGTCTTTCACTTGTTTGGTTAGCTTTTATGTTGTTTGTGGCAATTGTAAATGGTGATGTTTCTCTGATTTCTTTCTCAGCTCATTTATCATCTGTATATAGTAGGACTACTGATTTCTTTAGTTAATCTTGTATCCTGCCACTTTGCTGAAGGTGTTTATCAGTAGTGGGAGTTCTCTGATAGAGTTTTTGAGTCACTTATATAAACTATCATATCATCTGCACATAGTGAAAGTTTGACTTCTTCCTTTCCAATTTGTATCCCCTTGATCTCCTTTTGTTATCTTATTGCTCTAGCTAGAACTTCATGTACAATATTGAAGAGATATGGGGAGAGTGCACAGCATTGTCTTATTCTTGATTTTAGAGGAATTGCGTTGAGTCCATTTAGTTTGATGTTGGCCATTGGTTTACTGTATATTGCTTTTATTATGTTCAAGTATGTTTCTGTTATCCCTGATCTCTCCAGGATCTTTATCATGAAGGGGTGTTGGATTTTGTCAAAGACTTTTTCAGCATCTGGCTCAGCCATTTTAATGTCCAAACAACTGAAAACTTTCTGCGTTCTTTATGAGATGCTTATGTCTTACTTCTTGAAGTTAAAAATGACACTCTATTCAGTGCTGTTGTGCCCATCTTTAGTATACATGATTAATATTGAAGATATCCTTGAACCACCAGACACCATAGACTTCCTGGTTCGTATATTCTGCCAACTTCCCGGGAGTAACTACTAGGAATAAACAGATGGTTGGATAGATGAATGAATGAATTTACTTGATAGCTCACTGCCAAAAAATTGCTACCTATAGTAAAATCATGGTTCTTGGTTTTGTTCCATGAACCACAAGGGAAAAGAACTCAAATTAGTAACCGACAGAATTTAGAGTAAATACATAGTAGTTCTTTGCCTAAATATATATTTTGTTCTGTGCCTGTGCACATACGCACAATTTCATATTTACAAGTATGCACATTCACATAGAGGGTCAGTGTCAGGTCTTTTCCTCTGTTTCTCTTCACATTTAAAAATACATCATATTATTGGTGTGTGTGTATGTGTGTGTGTGTGTGTGTGTGTGTGTGTGTGTGTGTCTGTGTGTGTAGGCACACCGGTGTTATGATTCATGTGCAGAAGGAAGAGGACAATAGGAGTCTGCTGTCTCCTTCCACCCTTGGTTGCAGGGATTGACTCAGACTGCCAGTATTTCCAAGTGAGTGGTTTCTACCTGCTTTCATCTCACTGACACCTTATTTTCCAGACAGGGTATCTCACTGAACTCGGAGCTCACTTATTTGGCTAGATGGGCTAGGCAGCCAGTCATGGGAATTTCCTTTTTTCTGCCTTCATGGTGTCTGGTGCTCAGGATCTGAACTTGGGTCCTCATGCTGATGTAGTCAGCAAGCTATCTCCCTAGCCTCCAGACTGTTTTTTGTTTGTCTTTGTTTTTTGAGACAGGGTTTCTCTATGGCTTTGGAGCCTGTCCTGGAACTAGCTCTTGTAGACAAGGCTGGTCTCCAACTCACAGAGATCTGCCTGCCTCTGCCTCCCAAGTGCTGGAATTAAAGGTGTGCACCACTACAGCCCACTCTCTCCAGACATTTTAAAAATGGATTTAAACTCAAGAAGCCCTAGCTAATAGAATTATTATAGAACTTCTGAAAGAACCTTCTGGCAATTTTGAGTCAAATAAATTTGTTACCAATGGCATAAATGTCATATTCACTATTAAAATGGAATTAAGTTCCATTTTAATGTTAAATGTATTGTATTTTAGCAACATTACTCATCAGATTCAATTGTCTAAGAGGTATTTAGGATAGCACCTACTATGTGACAGGCACTATTATAGGCTCTGGAAAACATGGGACACAGATGGGGTTGTCATTCTATTGGAATACTAATTTCAATAGGTACTTGAGCGAAATATCTAAAACACTTCATGTAATCAATGTTATATTTTAGTTTGAGCATTGCTTTCACTTAATTCAATTTCTAGATAAGGCAACATTTACAAGTTGGATTTCAGAGATAAGATGTCAACCGAGGTCTTTTGATTACAAAATGTATGCTTCCTTTGCCCCCATGATGCTGTAACAAATACTTGTCTTTCCACGACATTTGTTCAGGAAAGGCTTAAGAGAGCCACACTGTTCCTCCCAGCTCCAACATGTTCGCTTTCTGCTCTGTAATAAAATGTTCTCATCAGAAGACAATTTCAGGAAAACCAAGTTTCACTTTGAAAATGAAGATGATAATGCTAAAGATAACACTGGAAACAGTATCCATCCCTAATATGGTTTCACAGTTTCAGGAAAAGAGTGAGAATAAAAATACAGTATAATCATATCCTTATAGATTTGATTAAGATGGCAGAAATTGCATGGTAATCTGAAAATGGTTCATTCAAATATATTAACCTCTATTCTTTCAGAACCGCTCTGAAGTGTATTCCTCAGGGCAATTAAAACCTGATTGTTAGCAGAGCAGTGGGTAGTAGGGTTTGGTGCAGGGTCGAGGTGGGTGCTCTGCAGGGGAAATCTGACCGAAAGCTGGCACATGTCAGTTAGATAAGACCAGTAAGCTCTAAAGGCTACTGTACGGCAGTGACCGGAGTAATGGCAGTGCCCTGTTCCCTTGAAGTCACATAAAGAGCAGATTCCAAGTTTTCTTTCCAAATATTTGTCCAGTAAATCTGTGTTGATGAATGTGTGCTGCCATTCCACTGCAACCCTGAGCAGTAGCTGCTGAGCATAAAAATCTTCTTTTGAAATAAGTAAAAAGTGCTCTTTTTCTATGAAGAACTAAGAAATGTTTTCCTTATAAATGGCAGACAGTCATAAAAGCATTTCAGTTTCACCAAATAATATAGCTGCTCAGAACTAAAAGTCCCCATACAGCTCCTGAACATCTGTTATAAATAGGTATGAACATTTGAATCTATATATTCTGTATTGTTGGCTTAAAGCAGAGTTGACATGGCAGCTAATGTGGGAAAGAAGAAAGAGGCTGGGTGAAACTGTCTCTTAGATAAACGGGGCCCATAAAACGAGTTAGGAGTCACTGATTAACATATTATGAAAAAAAATCCTGTCCCTCTGTCACTGCTTACTTAAACAAAGACAAGTTCCTACCTCCCCAAGTTTTGCTGTCTGCTTAGAGGGCCCAGGCCTCTGGCTGGCTGCCTCTGCTCCCAGCCCTCTGTCCCCTACTTTCTACTATGCATTTATAACTGCTTTCCAAATGTTGGCTTCTTAGGGTAGCTGCTGGTGTCTCAGAGTGAAATCTTCGCCAGAACTCACTCTATCTCTCAGTGCCATGAATCTCAATAGCACTTGTAAGTAACTTTTTATGCCAAAGTGTTATTTCTCAGGGAGCCAAAGGAAATGCCCGATGTACTGCCTGCTCTCCATGTGCCTTCGGAATAGGGAAGAAGGCACAAGGGAAAAAGTTAGTGACTGTGATAGAAACTGACAGCATCATATGGAGTCATTTACAAATAAGCAAGCCAGCAGCTGGAAACCAAGAGACTATGGCAGAGAAGACAGGGTCCCTAGAGAGGGTGTTCTGTGATGACAAGTCACTTCTGTTCCTTTCTGGGAAGTGCAGTCGACAGGAAGCTCATTGGTGGTGTAGTGTGTTTTGCACGCAGTTTCTCTCCCATCCTGTGAAACAACACGCCCCCATCGTGGACCGTGTTGAGTACTCATTTCCCTTTTTCCCGGAGTGTAGAACCTCTCGGTCATGCAGTGTTATTCTTCAGTTCCCAGGTGAGTTGAGATGTAGAGACCCAGAACAAACAAACATTTTTTATCTGTATCAGAAGCTCATTTTGCAAGAGTTGAAAGCTTTCTCGTATTGAGCTGGATGTCAACACTGGAAATCTAGGAGAAGCTTGAGGAGCTCTCGATTTTTATTTGTCGACTAAAGCCAAGGCCATGGAGTAGCACTAAGGAATAATAAAAACAGTGTATGTGTTTGTCAAACCTCACAGACACCAGTGTAGATATAAATGATTATCGAACAGGACAGAGAATGATGATTTTTAATATCAAAATTATACCACTGAAAAACTGAAGCAAGACAAAACAATTTCAACTAAAGAGACTGATTGAATTGTAACTTCCTTTTACCCCCTCCCTTCATCCTCTATTGCTAATATCCATTCCAGAAGAGTATGTCCAAGATGTCCTATTAATTGAAGCATCTAAGTGTAGACATAAGGAACAATATAGAATACTATGCTTAACATACAACTCTAAAAACGCTTATCATTTTGCACATCAGGACTTGCTGGTAAGTTTCTTCTGCTGAAGACACCACACACTTTTGTCACAGGTCTTTGAGAAATCATGTGGATATTGATCTAGAAGCTTTCTCCTGACTGGTTAGCTTTCATCATGCTCGAAGGTGCTGTCTAAGCTACCCGGGAAGAAAACACCTCAGCAGTCTTACCCAGCTGTGAGCATTGGTAGCTATGATAACAGCTGGCATTAAGGATACCCACGGGTGCAATCGCAGCACAAATGTTATTGGTGGAACCAACTACTTTCTGTCTGGACCGAAGGACCACTCTGCAGGGGAAATGCATAACCGATACTCTAAATCTGGCAAGAACTCATGACTGAGCCCCAAGGGTAAACCCACTGCTACTATTTTGCTAAATGGACATAGTACCAAACTACCCTCTAAATATTTATCTCTAGACCCACAGATTAGTGTGCTTCATTGGAAAACTTCTTTGTCCAGAGAATCGAAGTTAAAGCAGGAATTCACAACTGTACAAAATGCAGACCAGCTGTCTGTGTGGTGTTTAGTCATATATTGGACATCTATATCACAATCCTTCCCTTTCAAAACTTGGGAAATCCTGGGAAAGAATGGGTAAAAAAGATTGCAGTGGTCAGAAGTCTTGAAGGACAGAGGAGAAACTGTCTTCTGGATCTGACAGGACTGCTAAGCTCATGAACTCACAGTAGTCATGGCTCCTTGCATAGACCTACCTAAGACTAAGTCAGTCAGCATTCCAACATGGAGGGGTCTAATGCTGACTTTAACAAAAAATCCTGCCTTTTAGCATCTATGAAAATATATAGCTATAAGTACTTTATGGCAAATTATCCAGATTTTATGCTAATTTTAAAAAACAATTACACGTGGTACAATATGGCTCTGGTTTGGAGAATTGCTGAAAGATAGCCATGTGTTTATATCTTAGTATAAGTGCATGCAAAAAATCTCATAGAATAGGGCCTAATTTTTATAATTTTGTCTGGTTTGTAATATCATAATAAAATAAATTTTCATCAATTTTCTGCATTTTGAAGTTGTTTGAAGTGAATACTTAGGATAAGAATAATCAGAGCCCTTATGCTACTAAAGTTTGATCTAGTTTTCTCACTCTCTGTGTTCTGGAAATTCCTTTTCACTGCTGACCACGGTTTATCTGTCAAGAACAAAGAAAAATTCTTGCAAAAAATTTAAAGACAGATGAAGTAAAATGCTGTCTTGTACTTAATTTGCTTATTACCACTCTTACTGGAAAGCCCAAGTTTTGTAGACTATCCATGTCACACGAGCAGATTTCTCAGACTCCTATAGAAATCAATGATTTCTCTTTTGATCTTCAATTTTGTCAGTATCATCATGGTGTAATATTCAGTTTTTTCTCCAAGTGAATGCTAGTCTACCAGGTGTGTCTAACCTGTTTCCCTCAGGCCATATGGGCCCCAAAATAGCAGTGAATGTGGCTCAACTGTTCATGACATGTCATGCCACACGTAAAAGCATAGACTCTTTCGAAGGTAAACACTTTGAAAGAGGCCAGATTTTCCCCTTTGTTCCCCACGGAGATTAAATGACAGCTGGTGAAACAGAATGTCTTCCCCACCTCTGCAACTGCACAGTAGGAAAGAAAGATGAGAGTCCCAGGGAATCTGAAGAAAGACCACAAAATGATGTTTTTTGACACATTAAAAACGAAGCTTCATAAATCATGCTCACCTAATAGGTATTTAAAATTTTTCATTATAATGAACAACATAGTCATCCGAGTTATACTTCATTATCAGCAAAATGAATTAAAGACTCTACTAGTGCTGAAATTGTGTGGTACGAATGTAACCTAAATCCCACACAAGAAAATAGACCATTAAAATGCTTCTCTGTGAGCAATTGATTTTGGCCTTTGGGGTAAATCTTGCCTTGCTTACGAAGGATCATCTCCCTCCAAAGGAAGAACGCCGACATCTAATGTTATAGGAAAAGTAAGCGTTGAGTTTGAGGTACTGTTTTCTAATCATTTTACAATTTTTCAAGATTACATTTTTATTTATTTACTATGTATGCCGTGCATCTAGGTAAGGCAACATGTGTCACAGCGTGTGTGCAGATGTCAGAGGACAGCTTGAGGGAAGGTCTGTTGAACACATAGGTCCTTGTGCCCACAGATCGCTAGGGAGACGTTAAATGCACAGGGGCCTCTTCTCAATGGAGGAGACGAAATACCCGTGAGTAGATTTTAATGACCTGGTGACCTTACTATCTGTGGAAGCAGATCTCATTCACCTTTTGCTATAGAGGCAGACCTCACCCAAATTCCCCAGAAGGATTATCACAGACTCTCCGCAGGTCATTACCCATTCTTAGAGGCGATGATGCCACACCCACATTAGACCCAGGTACAGGTCAGAGGCCACACTCGATTCTAAGCCTTAGCTACAGACCCTACCGTCACAGTCACAAGCACTTGGCAAAGGAGTGTCTACGTAGTCACACCTTAAACCTTATTGTGCACCTGGAACTGGACTGATTGTTGCCTGAAAATCGTTTCCCAAATTGTTCTGTGTTTTAAATAGGCTGACATTACCTCTTGGTAGAAGACTGAAGTCTCGTCCAGGTTGACGACGTCAATCACACATGGTTTTCAGTCTCCTCTCCCACAGTTTGCATCCCTGTATGAGACCTGTGGGGACCACACAGGCTGAGGAGACAGACCTCGGGTGCGCAGACTTGGTAGCAGGTACCTTTAGCCACTGAGGCATCTGCCGACCCCTGGTGAGTTTTCAGTGTGATGCCAGGGCATCTAAAATGAGAGGTAACCAGTTCCCGGTTGTGAAGCAAGCAAGATCACAGGAGCAGGTGAGTGCCCTTTCCTTTCCATTCGTCAAAGAGCCCAGTCCCTGGAGAACTCTGGGAACCTGGGAAGCCCGAATCGAATTCCAAGCAGAGTGAGTGGCCCAAGCTTCCGGCGACAGTTCTCAGTGATGCACACAGTGGCCACGCTAGAGGCTTTCAAGGGACTGGAATCTGAGAAAAAGAACACAATTATTGAAAGAGTTCCGCTTTCAAACACCTACCTTTGTGCTCCTTCTGAGTTGGGCGGATGTGAGGTGGTGTAGTACTTGTCAAATGTAAGCCCCTCCATTGGTCACCTTGGAGTCTTGTCACCCAGAAAAAGCCAATGCTGCTTTATTTAAGACCGGGAAGTCACAGAGCACCATCGTGTGCAGTGAGTCCACGGGTCTCCACAATGCTGAGAAATCTCGGAGCTTCCTCTGTGGCAGTTTTTTAAACGAAGACCCTGCTCTGGAGGGAGGAGAGGGGAAGGTCAGGCCAGAAATAGCCTTGCATCCTATTATTGGACACGTGACACGTGTTTGCGTCCCGTTAGGGGAGGGAGCTGTAGTGTTCCTTCCATGGTGGTGGCCGCTTGGATCCCCCAAACACGGCTCAGCCAGTGGAGTCCCTTTGTCGCCTGGCATCACAAAATGAAAAATGCCATTCCCTGACTGAGGTTAGGGGTGGAGATGGAGGCAAAGTGGTGTGTGTGTGTGTGTGTGTGTGTGTGTGTGTGTGTATGTGTGTGTAGGTGAAGATAAATGCTCCTTCTGTCCCCACATCTTTGCAAAATATCAGATTAGATCCTGTGCTTTCCTCTCAGAAAAGTGACGGTAGCCTTTTATTTACTTGCTATTACTAACCCTGGCATTCACAGCTCTTCTATGCCTTTAGGAAAATAGGAAAAAGAGACCCTTCTTGGGGGAATGGCTGAGTGGGACGCAGAAGATGGCTGGATTTATGTTCTTTCTACTCCATGCCGGCCAGTTAACAAAATGCAGCCCGTACTAATGAGGCTGTGCCCGAGAATAAAACACCAGCTTGCTGAAAGCCTTTAAGCCTGGAGATCTACCTGGGTGAGACCCTTTCTCCCAGATCCATGCTTACGCAGCTGCAGGGCTTGCAAAGACCCTGGGTGAGGACTTTAAGGCTGCCATTTGACTGATGCCTCCAGTGTATCCTGGCTGGGAAACTGCTGCATGTCGCAAAGATTCTGAGCAGTTATGACATGGAAATTGCTAAAAATAAACCTGGATGCTTGCCAGGCCTCACTAGGCCTTCTGTGTAATATAATCTTAAATACACCAGATAAGCCAGAATCCTAAAATAGCTCAGTTGTGGGAATAATAGAATTGGGTCTTATAATCTTAAATATACCAGATAAACAAGAATCCTAAAATAGTTAGCTGTGGGAATAATAGAATTAGGTCTTTTTAAAAGTTGGATCCACAGTCGCTAATTTTTTTATATTCTCCTTACTTGTATAAAACTTTTAAGGCTGCAATTCCCTATATTTTGAGGTAGAGCATGCTTAAAGTTAGTTGCAAGGTAATTTGCATTTATGACTATGTGATTTCTACTCTGATGTAGTAGCTGCTTAAAAGAATGATTTGGGGCAGGAGAAATGGCTCAGCTGCTAAGAGCACATGCTAAAGCTAGGTTCTGTTCCCAGTACCTACACGACAGCTTGCAACTATGTGTAATTCCAACATCCTCTTTTGGCTGCAGGAATGTGGTGCATAGACAAAACACCCATACGCATAACATAAACAATAAATAAGTCTAATAATTTTAAATAATGACTCAGTTTTTATTCGTGATTTTGTTGTTGATGCTTTCTTTTGTTGGCTTCCTTGGGGAATGTATATGCTCTAGTAATGTAAGAAGGTAATGTTCATTCTCTGTGACGAAAGCATTACAGTTTATTGTCATTGTTACTATTATTGGAGTGTGCATCTGTGTGTGTTTGGGTTTGTCCATGTACTGTTGGCCAATGTCTAGGGCTTCTTACTGGCTAGCTCTCTCTTAATTATTAACCCATAACTGCTAATCTATGTCTTTTTACATGGCCTTATCTTACCAGAGACTGCCTGGCATGTCCTATTTTCCTGGTCTCTACATGGCATCTCTTCCTGGTGGCTCCTCTCTGTCTTCCTCTCCCCAGCCTTCTGGTTTGGTAGCCCTGCCTATATTATTGCCTGGATATTAGTCAATCAGTGTTTTATTCATCAACTAGTAAGAGACACATATATACCGAAGGACATCCCCTATCAATGTTTATCATACAACCTGGCGATCATTGATTCTGCTAGACTGGTTAGCCAATGGACCTCAAGGATCAACTTGTCTCTGCCTGCAATTCCCCTTCCCTCTTATGCGCGTTCTGGAAACAGGTTTTCCTACTAGTGTGGCAATTACATTACCTACTGAACCATCTTCTCAGGACCATCATTTAAAAAAATATGTATGTTTATAAATATTTGAAGACAAGCTTACTAACCTTATTTTTCATGCCATGCAGCATCCCTTGATTAAATTATCTTTATATTTCTGGAAGATTAAGTTTTATATACTTGATATGTATGCCTAGAAAACAGAAATATAAGCTTTCCTTCATATTACAGCATTGACCAAATACTTGTGTAAGTTTTGTCTCATTTAGTATCTTTGTTATAAATTCCACTTTAACTGATACCTTGATATTTAACTGATACCAAAATGCACTCTACATTTTGGTATTTACCCTTATAATTCTTCTTTAGCATTGGCCCTCATACCTTCACATGCATTCTTTTTAAAAATTATAATTTTGTGTGTATGGGTACTTTGTCTGAACGTCTGTCTGTACTATGAACATGAAGGGCTCTTGCAAACCAGAAGAGGGTAGCAGATAACCTGGAACTAGAATTTTGGGAAGGTGTGAGCTGTCATGTGGGTACTGGGGATCGAACCCATTGACTGTGGAGTCATTGCTCCAGCTGTACTTCATTCTTAGTGTATAGGACATATTAACACCTTTCTTCATATCTAAACTTGGTATTTGTTTTAAAAGCATGTGGTTTATTCTTGTCTTATTTACTACTTTTCCCTCCTTTGCCTTTATAAAAAAAACCTTTTCCTCGTATTCTTTCAAATCAGAGTAAACATTTCACTATTCCTTCCATTTATCTTCCATCTCTCATTTGGACTTTTACCTTTAACGTTTTGTTATTGCAAATGCTTGTGTGTGTGTGCGTGCAAGCATGCATGCACATATGCGCGTGTGTGCTCATGTGTGCGTGTGTGTATGTGTGTGTGTGTGTATGTGTGTGTGTGAGTATGTGTGAATACTGTTGCCCTTGGAGGCCAGAGAAGCCGGTTAAATCTTATGGAACTGGAGTTAAAGGTGGTTGTGAGCCACTTGGGAAGGTGCTGGGAATCAAACTCAGAAACTCCGCAAAAGCTGAATATACTCTTAACCACAGAATCATCTCTCCAATCTGTGGACTTTTAAGTTAGCAGGGTTTCACAATTGTCCATAAAATTGGTCCCAAACACAGCTTTGCTAAGTCTAGGAACCATGTGTGTATTGTTATGAAAGTAACTTTTTTAATACATAAAAATTCATGAGTTGCTACAATAATTAGGTTTTTTTTATTTGCCCCTTTCCTTTTGCCTCTTGAACAGAAGGTATTTTCACTAGCCCCTACTTCTGCTGTTTGAAAACTTTTCTATCCTGCTCAATAGCCAGTGCCTGGCTTATAACCAACAGTTAGCAGTTTAAGTATTCTGTATCCTAGCTAACTTTCCCGAGACAGTATTTTCTTTTATTTGGGAATAAGTACTTAAGATTTAAGTGTACTCCTGTGATGTAATTTCACTCATTTATCTTTATATTTCAAGCTCTATGGCATCTCATGGTTCGCTATCAGCAAAGGCATCAGCACAATTCATTTAGTGAATAAATTCCGAGCAGAACATCATATTGCCTTTTCATGCTTTGGACCTTAGAGATATCCTCATGTTCATGACCCAGGTGGTAAGATAAAAACAAGGATTTATTCAGTGAAGCGCCCTTCACTGCTTTTTCAAACTGAAAACCATCGCTGGTATTTTAGTTAAGTTAAATTTTACCATAAGTCCCAATGTCAAATCCCACTGGGAATTCATCTACCTAGCACAATGGAATCTTGGATGATTGGGAATTGGGCATGTACCTAAGCTTTCTATAGGCACCGATATCAAATACTTCACAAATACTATAACTTTCATAAATTCTCTTTCTCCAATTGAATATGAAGTTGTGAAATCTTTAGAAAAGAGCTGAATCATTATTTTTGCACTGTCTGCTGCATCTTAAAGCAGGAACTATGAAATAACTCAAGGGAAGCAGGGAGACATTTGCACCATGACACTCAGTAGCTTGTCTCCCAATCACATGCAGAGGAAACTGATGTGGACAGAGAGAATGGAAAATTGAATTTTGAAGACCATATTGAAAAACTTCCAGGACTACATTAGGTGTACAAGCTGAAAATTGACACAGATCACTATTTTATGTAGATGAAACGTTTGCAGCAAATTTTAGGCTACTTCTCATTTGTTCTCTTCCTCCTTTCCGTGATTTCTGCATAATGTGTTGGGAGAAATAAAAAGAATGATGCATGCCAATGAAGCTAATGGTTGCTGAAGTAAACTGTCTCCACTAGAGAGGGCACACATTTCTACAGATTTTCTGGAAGAAAATTTAAATATCTACCCTTAGTGTTTTAAAAAGTGCATGTGCTTTTTAAAATAGAAAAACTCCAAGTTTATCTTAAGGAAACATGTAAGCATTTATGTAAAGATTTATGTAAAAGGGATTCCCATGCATTGTTGGGAACACAAGAAAAATGTAAAATTCCATAAACATCCATCAGAAGGCCTTGGTTAAAGTATTTACTGTGCATCTATTCGTTTATTCATTAAGAACAGTCACTTAATGCCGATGCATTTCCCTTGAGTAATGCCTATAGTTTAAGATATATATCTGTGATTGTGGGGGACAGTGGATGTGGGGGACAGTGGTATATGTGTAAGTGTGAATGGCTGGTAGTCATAGGACACAGATCCTTATGCCTCCAAGCAAGTACTTTCCTGACTGAACTATTCCGCCCCCCCCCGCCCCACACACACACACAATTTTTACACTGAAGAACACATAGATTTACAAGAAAGAAGGCAAAGAGGGACATTCCCGTTCTCTGTGTTACTGAGGCAATAGGCCATAACAACAGCAAACTCTCCATCTTTTAGGAATGAATTATAATCTGAGTCACAATTCTAACTCCCAATGACCTATGATGCCTTATACAACTGGCCTGTTTCAAGAGAAAACCTTATGCTGTATCCAAGGGAAACAGGAGGTCCCCCTGTCCCCGGGCTGTGGGGCTGCACAGGAGTCTCATGCTGATAAGAGCAAGTGACTTCCCCTTCAACT